GCTATTTTTATTTTCTTGTTTTTAACCTTAGAAAAAATAGGTGCGTCAAAGTTGGGTTCGAACTCCCGACCTCCTGGTGTACTTCCACATCATCTAACCAACTGGGAAAGCTGGTGTACTTCCACACCATCTAACCAACTGGGAAAGCAACTTTGCTGTGCCTAATTAATTTCTTTTTTTCTTTTTTTGTGCATCTTCTCTGTTTGGTATTCTTCTGTTTATATGTCCTTTTCCTTTTCCTTTTGTCTATTATTTTCCATTTGCTTAAATTTGTGAACAAAAATTAAAATCATGATTTTTAAATTCATGAACTACACAAAATTTCATGATTTATTTCAAATTCATGGAATTATATCCAAATGGATGACCTTTTTAAAATTTGGCAAAGCTTTACAAGTTCGTCAACTTTTTCATATCGACGAACTTTTTCCAATAGCGTTAACTTATTGTCACATCGATGAACTTGAAATGCCCAATTCGTGAACTTTATATTTTCCATTTTCTTAAATTCATAAAAATATACATAAATTTCAAATAAAAGTTCGTGTCCTTAAAAATTGCTCAAAATGTGAACATTTTTTTTGATGTCTGAACAATTTTTGAAAATGGGAACACTATTTAGAACTCTGAACAAAATTTGACAACGTGACCATTTCTCTAAACTTATGAACTGTATTTTTGAATTTTGAACAATTATTCATTGATATGAACAAAACTTGAAATGTGAAGAAAATTTGGAATTTCTGAACATTTATCAATTTTTATAACATTGACTAAAAATTACATTTTTTGAAATTCCAAACATTTTTCTCAATGAAAAATTTCAAAATTCTGAAAAAACAATTGTGGATTCAAAAAATTTAAATTTATGAAAAATAGAAACCATAAAAAGAACAAAGAAGGAAAAAGTCAAAGAATACGAAAAGGAAATAAAAAGAAATGTAAAAGGGAAATAGGATGGAAGATAAAAATTTAAAAGAAAAAGAAAAGAAAAATTCGTCTTGGCAATATCCTAGAAGGTCCCTAAAACAAAAAAAATCGGCTGCAAACCTGAGGTTCCCAAAAATGTGATGCTACTTTTTTCAATTATTTTTAGTGAATTTGTTTTTGAAAACAGTTGAAATCTGTGAACATTTTTTAAAACAATTGATAAACCTTTTCAGATTAGCGAGCACTTAGGCCGGCCCAGTTGCGCCCGACAGGAGCCATGCCGTCGCCTAGTTAGGCCAAGGCCTAAGCATATTTTTTTCTTTTCTAATTTTTCGTTTTTCCTCCCTTTTTTTGTTAATTCGTTTTTATCCTTTATGAACTTTTTATTATTCTTTTTCAAACATGTTCAGAAATTTGAAATATTGTTTAGAATACCAAAGTAACAGTTCTAAGTAATTCTTATAAATGATGATTTATTTTTCCTTCAATTATTATTAAATATATTTTACAAAAAAACATTTATTGCTTTCAATTTGATCCTTTTATGATTATCTCCAGGAGTCCTGGTAGCAGGAATTACTTACCCAGAGTATCATCATTAATTGTTGGATACCAGTTATTGTCTACAACAACTCATGCTTTTGCAATAGTCTTTCCATGTTGACATGAATGTTTGAAATACAATTTACATTTCGTATTTAGTAAATTACAAATATAGCCAAAGCCAGCGTGTTTGCAGCTATATAATATGATATGCTGAAACAAAAGGAGATGCACAAATATGCAGCTACTAACGCATAGAAGCTCGACCACATGATTATTCCTTGAAGCATGATTTTTTTTTACAGTCCGTACTATATCTGGTTGGGGGCAAGGATTTTTTTATTATGGAAATGAAGGAATACGAAAAAAGTTAATAAGAAAATGGTCACTTATGTGTGTATTGATACCTCTTTTTTTAATAAAGACAGAAGATTAATGGCGATCACAGGTGGGCGTCGACCAGATTTCTTTTCTTCTCACGTTATTTAATTGGATCGATATTTTGTGGGATTAGCGCTTTTAATGGTGGCCAACATGGGTGAGTGGACATTGACCCAATTTTTCCCTCACGGTGCAATTTCCATACACGAGGGTGGCTCCAGAGTACGCCATTTTAGTTTTGTAGGACAAAAACTGATGTCAAAGCCAGAAGTTGAACTAAAGACTACAACCTTAAGACCTTCATCCATTTACCAACTACCCCGTACTTGGTTCTTGTCAAGTTCAAAAAAAGTAGCAGCATTTGATCATTTTGTCTCTTCTTATTAGTGCATCAATACAAATTGCAGCCTAGAGGCGGTTCAAGTGCTTTGCACATCCCTGAAGGAAACGTGCTAGTTGTGTGCATGAACCATGAAAAGCATGCACATGCATTACCAGAACCATGCTTTTGACCCCCCTCCCCTCCTAAAATAACATGGTAATTTCACGCACCCTAGATCTCACAGGTTATTTACTAGCACTGTGGTAACTTTTGACTCGGGTTTTTTTTATTGAAACATAACCCAATAACTTCTGTGTGAATAATATGGTACTTTACACATCACATACATGATAACTAACATACAAACACCATGGTAAGTTTGACCAGGGCATTATTTTTGTTGAAACACACCCTTGATAACTTTTGTGTAACTAATAT